CGTTTGCGCTGAGCGTTTGCTTCGACGAGTAATGACGGTTAAATCGCAGGACCTCGGGAAGAATGACTTTTTAATTTACAGCTATCTACAATAGATGGAAAAACTAAAAGTGGATGATGGGCTTTGTTTCAAAAATTGTTTGAGTATAAATCGTTTTACATAGCCTACGTATGGTGTATCAGAAAATGCAAGATCGCGGCGGATTATCCTCCTTATTTGACAGTAGTCGATTCAGTCCATTGTCCGACTGATTTGCTAGCTAGCGACGATGGGGTTTATTGCTCCCGCGTGAATGAGTTGCGTAGTTAACGGTTTTCTTTTACAATTGTTTTACTAGACAATTTGGGACCAAGGAATTAACCTGTACCAGCTCTCAACATTACATGAGGTAAGTTACCTGTTGCATGCTGAAACATTCGTTCGTAATCTGGCAAACTTAAGTTGGATAATTCCGATAAAGTTGGGTCTGCCCTACCTGTACAAGTTCTAAGTTCTGGTTGTCATGGAAGCTCGTATCTTTGGAATGAGGAGTCTTCACATACAGGGCTGTAATTCATTTTGGTGGTTGGGCAACATCATATTGCGCGGTGCAGGTGTAGGTACAATCTCATCCCAAAGGGAATAACATGCTACCTTTGTTGGTGAACAGTTGTAGGGGAGGATCCTGTTTTGTGACGTAAATGCCAAATCGGCGCAGCTGAATCTTGATTGTCAATATCGCGTACACCGCGAAAAGCGTGTCAGATGACAGCGGCAAAGACGCTTCTTTCGCTATCTGTCTGCAGATAGTACTGTTTGCAGTCAGCTGTCAGCACATTGTCGCGTCATGATGCCGCAGTTGTCACAGACAACCTCAGCTCGAAGGTTGGCATCTAATACTGCCTAAGTCTGGATGAATTCGGCTATCATTTAACTGACACCGCATAATTATTTCCAGCGTTTTGTTAAGCATTTTAGAGTACAAACAACTTCTTAAACATCGCAAAACTCTCTTCCCTCAGTAGCGAATTTCC